CCGGAGAGCCACGCCGCGAACTGTCTGCAACCCAAGCCTGCAGACAGAAAGCGCAGATATCAAGAGCCTTCATTATGGCAGGCCACGAGCAGAGCACGGCTGGCGGGTGAAGGGAATCGCCCTGCAGAAACGCACCCCAGAGGTTCTGGAGCGATGGCCCATTTCTTGGCTGCAAACGCGGCTTCCTCCTCCTGCAGCTGCACCATGCTGCAGTTGCAGGTTAGCGTGCTGGAGCAGCACCCCCTGGTGGGATAAAGCAAGAGATTACTTTCCATCTTGGAGTCGTCTGGAAATGTGCTTTTTGTTAGCGTCCTCCGTCCGGAGAGGTCTCTGCGAATGGAAAACAAATAGGAGACGTCCTCCTCTTCGATCAGAGAGAAATCTGAGCCCGGATGGTGCTTAGCAGACACAATGCTGGCAGAATTCAGCTTCAGAGCACAGGTTGCCACAGCGGAAAGCACCCCCAAGCATGCACAGAGTGTCTTTTTGTCTGCTAATCTATCGAATAAGGAGTGTGGCATCCAGGCATGTTACATCCCATCTGCCTTCCGAAAGCACAGAAGAGTCCCATTTGCTCCAGTGGAAAGAAACTATTTCAGAACTGAGGACCATAAAGAAAAACCAGGCAATTCCAGCTCCTATTTATTCCATGCTTTGTCATTTATTAATATTCCGCTTTTTCTCCCAGTTGGGACTCAAAGTGGCTTTAGAACACCAGTTTGGTGAAGTGGTTAGGAGCATGGGACTCTAATCTGGGAGAACCGGGCTTGATTCCCCACTCCTCCACATGCAGCTGCTGGTGTGACCTTGGGTCAGTCACAAGTTCTCTCAGAGTTGTTCTTTCAAGAGCAGTTTTCTCAGAGCTCTCTCAGCCCCACCTACATCCCAGGGTGTCTGTTGTAGGGAGGGGGAGGGAAAGCTGCTCTGAGACTCCTTTGGGCAGTAAAGGGCGGGGTATAAATCCAATCTCTTCTCTCTTTTCTTCTTCCATTCTCTCACAACAACAGCCCTGTGAGGTAGGCTAGGGCGAGAGTTTGTGACGGGCCCAAGGTCACCCAGCAAGCTTCCACGGGAGAAGTGGGGATTCGAACCCAGGTCCTGCCACAGTCGTAGCCGGCTTCTCCATCTATTACACCACAACTGGCTCAAATGCTGCCATCCTGTTGACTTCCAGATGGGATCTGAGCGAGGTGCTTATTATGTTACGGCACGAGGATTCGTAATCAGTCAGGCGGGTCAGTTCCTTTGCCTCCGTCCAACTGTGGAAGGTTTTGCTTGAACAAAAGGCATCTGTTTTCTACAGGGCAAGAAGCCCCTGTTTTGAAGCCCTCCTCAGACGTGATGCTCCCTGAATGACCTTGGTCCAGTCATGGTCTTTCAGCAGGCTTATCGGGAGGACGGAGGAAGGCAAATCACATTTGAAGCTCCCCCCCTTCCAAGGACTGCCTGGGCAGAAGGAAAAATGCAGTAAATAAACAAACAGAAGAGGAGGAGGAGAAGAAGAGATTGGATTTATACCCCCACCCTCACTTGGAGTCTCAGAGGGGCTTACAAACTCCTCTCCCTTCCCCTCCCCACAACAGGTGAGGTAGGTGGGGCTGAGAGAGCTCTGACGGAAACTGCTCTTTTTCAAGGACAGCTGGGCCAGAGGTTGTGACTGACCCAAGGTCATCCAGCCAGGTGCAAGGGGAGGAGTGGGGAATCAAACCCGGTTCTCCCAGATTAGAGTCCGCGCACTTCACTACTACACCAAATAGGGCCATACGGTGGGGGGATACCCTTTAGTTCACAATAATGTTAAAGCCATACTTTGCAAATTGTTCTGATTTATACTTCAATTGTACCTTGCTTTGTTTTCACATGTTTGTAAAAATATAAATATAAAATAAAAAAATATTAATAGCAAGAAAAAAATAGGGCCATACAGTCTAGGCAGGGATCGCAAAAGTGTCTGCTGGCACCTTTTTGGGGGCCCACCAAGTGTTTTTAAGGAAGCAGGCCTGGCCAGGGAGGGTTTTTGCTCAGCAAGGCTTCTGATTGGCCGTCAGAGATTTGACTGGCCGTGCAGGTTCTTAAAAATTTCACTTTGGCACCAGCCACTGTCCTCTCAGCACAAAGATCTGCCCTGTAGGACTGAAGTTAAGCTGTGGCAGCCATTTTGTGGCAGGTTTCGCCTCCTGGGGCAGCCATTTTGTGCCCACCATTCCGTGCCAGGATTCCAAAGTCGCCCACAGGCTCGAAAAGGTCGGGGACCCAGTCAAAGAAATAGATTCTGGGGCCCAAGCTGTTTTGGTGCCCAACCATCCCCCCCACAGTTCCTCGTCGACGCTTTCAAACCAAACAAACAGAAGAGGACAGAAATCCAACAGGGACAGGAAACAAATCTGCCGGCGCTGGAATCTAGAGCCCCACACAGTTAGAGGAGTCGAACTTTTTGTTCCCCTCTCCTGTGCCGGTTGGACTTCCACTCTTTGCATTACGCCAGATCTTTCTCAAGACAACGATGGGTGGCCGTGTTAGTCTGTCTGTAGCAGAAGAAAAGAGCAAGAGTCCAGCAGCACCTTCAAGACTATTTGGCCACACCTGTATCTGAAGAAGTGAGCCATGACTCACGAAAGCTCCTCCCCTGCCACATATTTTGTTAGTCTTTCAGGGGCTCCTGAAAAGGGCAACTAGAATGATCAAAGGGTTGGAACACTTCCCCTATGAGGAAAGGTTAAAGCGCTTCCCACTGCTGGACCTCCTGAGGGCCCCTGGTATTTCTGGCCCCTGTGTGACACAGAGTGTTGGACGGGATGGGCCTTGGGCCTGATCCAACATTGGCTTCTCTCTTATGTTCCTATAGGAACTCTCAGTATGGGGCAAGGGATGCTCTGTCTTCTTGGTGCTTGGGGGGGAGGCAACAGTGGCAGGACTCCTAGTGTCCTGGCCCCACTGCTGGACCTCCTGAGGGCCCCTGGTATTTCTGGCCCCTGTGTGACACAGAGTGTTGGACGGGATGGGCCTTGGGCCTGATCCAACATTGGCTTCTCTCTTATGTTCCTATAGGAACTCTCAGTATGGGGCAAGGGATGCTCTGTCTTCTTGGTGCTTGGGGGGGAGGCAAGAGTGGGAGGGCTTCTAGTGTCCTGGCCCCACTGCTGGACCTCCTGATGGCCCCTGGTATGTCTGGCCCCTGTGTGACACAGAGTGTTGGACTGGATGGGCCACTGGCCTGATCCAACATTGGCTTCTCTTATGTTCTTATAGGAACTCTCAGGCTGGGGCAAGGGATGCTCTGTCTTCTTGGTGCCTGGGTTTTTTTTTTTCAAGAGTGGGAGGGCTTCTACTGTCCTGGCCCCACTGCTGGACCTCCTGAGGGCCCCTGGTATTTCTGGCCCCTGTGTGACACAGAGTGTTGGACGGGATGGGCCTTGGGCCTGATCCAGCACTGGCGTCTCTTCTGTTCTTATGACTCTCGCTCTTTTCTGCTTTCTCAAGACAGTCCTTTCACCTTGCCTCATTGTTTAAGTTGTTTCTGCATGAGGTTATCCTCCGGCAAAGACGGAAACACGGTAAGAAAACGCACCAGAGCTCATTCTCTGGGTAAGCTTTAAGCCTCCTACAGGGACCCCCCCCATTCCCGGTGGGGGGGCATCGCATTCTGCCCAGACTCCGGCATCCTTTGGCCATGACTCATCTGTCTCACCGTGTTAGAAAAAAATCTTTGCTCTAATAAGGGAAAGGGAAGAACGGAGGCCTTTGTGGTTGGAGATACTCCCCAGACCTTCCCCGCTATGCTGTTAAGATCAGAATTCTTGCTCCCGGGCAGAAGTCCAGCAGACGGAGCCTTGATGGATTTCGCAAGCGCCTCTCCGGCTCCCATAACGGAGATCTCTGCAGCATTCACCATCGACACAACGTGGCTCAGCTTGGGGATCATTTCCAAAGAGATCTCGAGGATGCCCCGTAGGAACCAGATCACAGAAGCACTTCGAACAGCAGGCTGGGGCCCCCAACCCCATATATCAGATGTGAGTTTCTCTTTAGGAAAGCACCAGGCAGGTAGAGGAGCTAGGCCTCTGACCAGGCACCAGCGGTGGTGAAGGAGCACAGACTCTACTCCGGGAGAACCGGGTTTGATCCCCCACGCCTCCCCATGCAGCTGCTGGTGTGACCTTGGGCGAGATATAAATGCAAATAATAAATAAATAATAAAAATAAATAAGTTCTCAAGAGAGAGAGAGAGCTCTCTCAGCCCCACCCGCCTCACAGGGTGTCCTGACTCTACTCCGGGAGAACCGGGTTTGATCCTCCCACGCCTCCCCATGCAGCTGCTGGTGTGACCTTGGCCGAGATATAAATGCAAATAATAAATAGATAATAAAAATAAATAAGTTCTCGAGAGAGAGAGCTCTCT